TTGTAATTTCCAAAAAATAAAAACCTCAACAACCCCTTTTCTATTTTTTTCATAAATAGGGATATTCTTATTATCAAAAAAATTCACTATCAATCCACTACTTTTATAATCACTATTGAATCAAAGAGATAGAATGTTGAAAAAAATTTAAAGAAAGAGAAAAAATGTTAATCCAATGATGATTGTAGGGATAGCAGTGGATTTTTTTAGTAGTAAGAATATATCCCTCTTTTTTTATTATGATATTATAAATAATTCCTTCATAATTCTCTATTTTACATAATTTTTTAACATCTTACACACAAAAATGAAATCATTTCTTATATAAAAATTAAAATGAAAAACTCAGAAACTTAAAAAAAAAAAAAAAAAAGGAACTAGATCTTCACGTAAGTTGCTTTTTCTAAGCAGAAGTTCCTCAGGTAAATTAACAGTCCACCTTTTATTCAAATTTCTCATCTGTCATCACTAGCTAGTGTCTGATGTGAGGGTAATATGATGGTCTCGTTGAAATGAAAAGATCAGTTTACTATTATAAAGTTTTTTCGATGGAAAGACACGAGAGCAATTACCGTTTTCCTTGTTGATTCGCTTTGGAAAAAAAAAATATAAAATAAATCTATCTCTCTTGAAGAAAATATTTAAGCGAAGGGAAAATTTCACCGTTCTAAAGTTAAAACATGCCATATAACTAGGGTGAAAGCGGATTGGGCTGGGCGAAATTTTGTTCCGAAAAACTCAAGCTTATGTCAAAAAAATTTAATTTGATCTGACACAAGCCTAATACGAGTCTAACTGTTAGCCTGACTTGACTCGTTTATAAAAAAATAAATGGTCTGGTCTGGTCTGACTCATTAACCTGTTAATTTTTTACTTCCAAACAGAACCATGAATCAATTTTACAAAATATTCAAATTATGTTGTTAAACCAAAAATCATAATTTCAACGTCCAAACAGAATTATGAATCACAACAAAACTTATACAATCTGCATTTAAGTCACTTTCTAAAGCAAAATGCTCAAACTAAATAACATATATTTCATCAGGTCCAACAAACAAATCTATGCTATGTAAATTAAAATAATTACATGAATTCAAAAACACATCATGATGCTTGTAGTAAGTATAACCTCTCCCAAAAATCTTTTAATATATTCATATACACAATCTAACATGCTGAGATGTTGATTCCATAAGAAATAAAGTCAGATTTTTATAAAAATAATCGAATATAATTAAGTTATAAATAATTACAATTGATTAAATTTATATTTTTTGTTTTTTCTTCAAGGTATACTTATTCTATTTTATTTTATTTAAAATAAATAGTACAATATAGGTCGGCTTGTAGGCTTATAGGCCAGACCTTGTGAAAGTGGGCCTACGATCTTTTTATTAAACAAGTTTTTTCAAGGCCCAAGTCCGGCCTATTTTACGAAATATACTAGTTCAGGTCTAGCATAACGTAAGCCGAGCCGTAGGCCGGCCCGACCCAGTTTCACTCTTACATATAACCTCAGTCATACTTCACAATGAAATATGATATTATGTCTACTTGTTTTAATGCATATTCTATCTATTCATTTCTAACACTGTTAGATCACAATCACAAGAAGAGAAAAAAAATAAAATTAATTGAGATTCTGATCAAACGGTATTAGAGAGGAAAATGTAGATTAAACATAAAAAAAGGTATACATAATATAGTACACCTATTTATAAATAGAGAAGCATTATTTTTACAACCTAAAAGTTTTACAACCTATTTTTTCACTGTTGATTTTCGTCAATCCAACTATTATAATTTATTGAAATAATTAATTAATTAATTAATATGACCAAATAAATCATAACCGTTGGATTGACGGAAATCAACAGTGAAAAATAGGTTGTAAGAATAATACTCCTCTTATAAATATAGTTTAATATTTCTCACGTTGTAAGATATAAATTTATCTCCAACATCCACATAAAAGTGTGTAATGTTCATGTGAAAAAAAAGAGAGAAAGAAAAAATATAGGTCCTACATATTTTTATATGTGTATAGGAGATAAGGGTGTTCGCGGTCTGGATTGGATCGGTTTTGCAAGCAAAATTAATTTGATCCAATCTCATCGGTTTGATCATGTAATCATCCATTTAGTTTGGATTTTTTTTTTTTAAATCTTATCCTATCCAATCCAATTTTATTTGGTTTGGTTTGGATCGATTTTCGATTTTTTGAAAAGCCTAAAATTTGTATGATGATTATTATGCAAATAACATATCTTTTGTATGCATTGGCTTTGTAAAGTTTGTATGATGATTATTGTGCAATCTAGAAGCATCAGTAAAAGATAATCTGATTTTCAATATAGTACAACAAAAAGTTGAATTACCATCTTTTACCTCCAACAAAAAATTTATAATGTGGTTGTCTGGGATACGGTGTAACCCAAATTTTCATCCAACAAATTTTCATCCAACAGAAGAGCTGTTGTACAACAATAACACATGCAATAAAAATATATGATGTAGCCTACTAATATTTTGATGTATCTTGCCAAAAAAAAAAAGCATAACATAAATCAAGCACAACCCACTTTCTCCAACATGATGGGTTAATGAGTCTTGTGTTTAGAATTTTGCTATATGATTTTTGGGCTATGATTGGAAAATAGGCCCAAGTAAGTAAAGGGTAAGGTTGGGGATTCATTGGATCGGTTTGGATTGGATCGGTTTTCACCTATTAAATCGAAAACCGATCCAATCCAATTAAATTTTGCGATTTTCTTTTTGGTTTTTGATTTTTCGATTTTCGGTTAATTCAGTTATCGATTTTTTGATTCGATCACTACGGTTTAAATGAGTTTGGATCGGTTGATGAACATTCATATCTCCTACAACATGAGAAACATTAAACCCTTATAAATAACTTATTAATCAAGGTACATCAAGAAGAATTAACCCCTTGACATAGTTTGATTTTACAAGTTAAATCAATTTTCATTAACAAATCAATCTTAATAAGATATTTTTCGTACAAGTTAGAACCTAATTTTCTTTTTGGTTGTATTGAAGGTATAAGTACTTGAATAGATTAAAGTTAACTTTGAAGAGGATCTAAAATTAGATCTTAAAGTGAAAATTTTCCTCAGTGTTCCTATATCTTTACTGTATTTATTGTATCCACTAATTTAAGGTTATTGTCATATGAGTCTCACATATTTCTATTTTTAATAAAAAAAAAAGTATGTACTTAGTAGTGAAAATTTACTCCTCGAGTGACATACTCAAATTCGAAATTCAAGTATCCAAAAAAAATTGAAATTGAAATTCAATTCAATTATGTTACAAGACTTAGCAATTGCATTAAATGAAATACGAGTCCAATGTCCCAGTCCCCTATATGTATAATTGGTCAATCAGCCCAACATGGAAACAGTAAAACCAAAACAACGAATAAATTTTTGGTACTACTGATGCACCAAGATTCAGTGCATCCCACAAATGAGAGCATTACACATCATAGGAGAGAGACAAAATTTGGCAGAAAAAAGAAAACTTTAGCTGACATGTAATATTTTTATTGGTGAAATGTACTGAATCTTTGATACAACAGTAACACCAAAAATTCATTTCAAAAACCACCTATATAAAGCTATGAGACATCAAACTTATTCCTGCAATGTGAGTGTGACTAGGTCTTTACAGATCAGTCAACAACAAAATAAATTATTCAAAATTTATGCCCCTTTGTCAACTATTAGGCCTAAATTATTCAAAATTTACTTCACAATAATTTTTTATTTATTTATTTTTTTGGTACAAATTGAATGGTCACAGACTTGTAATTTATGAAACTTTGAATCTTTCTTGTAACACACCATCAAAAGCACTAAAAAATGAATTTAACTTGTAAATCAAAATTCACAAGTAATCTGACTTCTTCATAGGCATAACAAGAGCAAGGTTTCATTCAAGAAAAAAAAAATGTCCATAGTAAATGTATAAGCCCACGCAGCAAACTGTCCATCTGTCTTTTGCTTGCAAGACAATCTTCAAAATATATGGTAACTGTGCTTAATATATTGGTTTTACTTTGGGTGGTAAATTGTTATAGGATATTCCTAAAATTGATGACACCTTTATTTTGTTTTTCCGTGGAATCGTTTTAGAACATAGAAGAAACAATTCAAATTACTAGTGAGGTTCTTAAGTTATAATGTCTGCTCTGAGATCAAATCGAAATAAGAGTTTTAAATCAATCAAGTACCAGCTCTGCTCTCTAAAATGAGTCAATCAAAAGATAGGCTAATGGCACAAGCAACAAAGTTTAACATCATTAAGAACGGTTTAGCTCAGGTGAAAACATAAATTTAGCAACTTGATCCGCTCCAACTAAAACAAGGGGCTACAGCAGTGAAGTTTAAGAAAAGAAAAATGCAGCAGTGTTTTGCAAATTTATCACTCAAACAAGCATCCAAAAGATTAATAGTCTACTTTATAGTTTTTATATATGAACCAGTTTCCCATAATGAATTAGGTAAACTCCTTTCAGTCGAGATTATGGAAGCTCCATGAGCTTACGGTTTAGATAGATTCTCGTATTTGACAACCTTGATCTACATAAAAGGACAAACCCCGATGCACATGCTCCACGATTCTATGAGAGTAGGAATGAGTTTTCTATATTCGAATCCATGACCTTCCAGTACAAAAATATAATCTTATTATGCTCCAAGGCTCGCCCTCAACTTTGATCTGCATACTTTCCAAAATTTATAATTTATGGTTTTTGGTTCTTCAAACTCGATTACTTTATTAGACATATACCTTAAAAGTCTACGTTTTATGAGCAACATATTTAAACCAAAAAAGGCAGTTCAAACATACCTAAAGGATTTTGATGGCATAATTACCCAGTGGGTAGAACTTGAGATTATCAGTCATCTCTGTAATAGAAAACAATAACCCATAAAAATAAACTAAAGAGACAGGCTAATCAAGAACCTCTAAATCTTCCCAAAATTCATATACAAGTAAAGATATGTTTAAAAGTAACGAAACTGTACAGTACACTCTTACATGGGTAACCAGAAGCACATGCCTACAAATAAGCACTAAAGATCTCACCAACAAGACAAATACTTAACTTCTATCTGCGTACTCCACTAAAGAAACCAATGTCTGTTGTTGATCAGATCATGCATGAAAAATCTCAAGTTCCAATATGATAATGATTCAAATTGAGAGTCACATAAGAAGGTTGAATTCTATCGAATGCAGGATAAACCATGACATATTACTAACCAGATGACAAATAATATTATACACACAGCTGCATCAATAGCTAGAACAATGCGTACTTGGCTCCACCATTTCCTACGAATGTTTTGAGGGCTTGATCTCGTCCTCATTGAACCCACATCCTTTTGCAAAACTGATGCACCTGCACCGCCTTGGCTAATACAATCCATATTTCCTGAATCAGCCCTTGCTCCTCTCTCAGTAGATTTCCGATGCTCCTCTAACTCAACATCTCTCATTGCAATCACATGATCCTTTACTTTCTTCTTCTCCGGCTTGCTAGATTTTCCCAATAAAGGGGCTTTTGTTGAACTAGCACTTTCAATTTGTCCATTCAAATTACTAGGTGATGGAGACAGATCTACATGAAGAGATGAGGAAGTTTCATCTCTCCACTTACTACTACCATTTGAGACATTCTCTAATGAAGTGATCAGGCTGTGGATGACGGGAACCAGTTTTTCCTGAATATAAATTGAGTTCATGTTTGGCAAAATTCCCCTTGAACCTTTTCTAGCTAGCTTTCTGAATTCATCTCTAACATGCTCCAAAAACCGAAGAAGTACTGAGTTACCAAGACCTTCATCAATGATACCGAAGTAAACATACCCATCTTCCATAAAAAACCCATAAGTCCTTTTACCTATTGTCTCAAAATACCACCTGTGGAAAGGAGGAGCCCTCTCCAAGCACAAAGCTGCAACATTCTCAATTCCTTGGTCTCCACCGCTATACGCATACAGGACATTATTACCTTTAGAAACACAACAGTAATAAACTTTATTTTGAATTGAATCCATTGTAAAATCGGTAAACAATATCCCCGATCAGATCACAACCAATTCCACTCAGATGCCAGGACAAAAAATCCGAAAAGTTACATTAATTTTGCTTTTCCCTCTTTCTGGTTCTCGAACGTTAACTTGACTTTTCTAACCACTGATAACCATTTACAAAATCAAACCAAAGTCTTCATGTCTCATATCAAATGAAGAATCTAAGAAATCAAGATTTGGCAAAAGAAGAATCTGATAAACTCGCAGAAGGAAAGAGGCAAAAATCAAGCAAAGCACAGGGAATTCACCAGTTACAAAGTCAAAGGCCTCCACAGAATACCAACACAGACCTTCAGCTAAGTATTGAAAATCATGAATGAAATCCCACATGCCTGCCAAGGGTCACTCCTACCTGCCTATATATATACATGAACAAAGAGAAATCTTTTATTCAGAGAATAATTGTAGGTAAAGTAATAACAATAAGCAATATCCAAATAAGAAAACAAGGCCTCAGATCACAAAGTATACATCAATAATCCAAAAACAGGAAGAAGAAAAAAATAGAAACTTCCAATCTACTTTGGCAAAGACAAAGATTTTTTGTACCTTAAGGGATAGCAGTATTCATTACGAAAAACATCTGAAAACGGGTAAAAGACCATTCCAAAATCTTCAGCTGAAGTTAAAGATCCATAACATAAGCAAGTTGAAATTTTGAAATCTAACAAAAGCCCAGAATGTAAGCCCTATTTATTTGTCCAAAATGGGGTTCTAAAATCAAACATAACTAGCACTAGTTACACCTAGCTTTCATGGGGTAAATTTTCTCAAGTGATCCAGTATTTCAAATTCAAAACCTTTCCACAAACATTTGACAGCATCCAAACAGATCTTAAAGAGAAAAAAAAAAAAAGCAGTTGAAGAATATGAGAAAGAAACATACCTGATGGGTGTGTGGTTCTTGGGGATGATTGAGATTGATTCATGGCAGAAGAGAGAGAATGAAAAGGAGAACGAAGAACGTGAGAACAACAAATTATAGGGAAAGGACGAAAATGCCACCGCCACGACCCAACACTGTAACTAGTCTCAATTCACAAACAAACCGTGTAATGTTTGTAATATGTCTTAGGTTTTGTTTTTGTGTTTTATCAGTGTTATGTAACATAATGTAAGTGTTGTTTCTAACTCTCACATTAAAAGGGAGAGAGAAAGTGGAATGATGAAAGAGAAAGAAAAATATGTAGACCCGACCTCTTTAATATGTGTGTAGGAAAGTGAAGTTATATTATGTTAAATGATAAACATAAAACCCTTTATTTTTTTACCTGCAATTTAAAATTTTTATTTTATTTTTTGGTAGGCAATATGCATGTTCGAATACAATTACAAGGTATCCATGGTTTTAATCTATGGTCCGAAAGGGGTGATTAACAAGGAGGAAAATATGATCAGGATAGATGCGTGTGGATAAAACTAGTGTTATCAAACTCCAACTTGTCTTTGACTTGGTTCGATTACGGGTCAATGATCTGATCATTGATTCAATGCTTGAATTAAATATACATAAATAAATTAGAAGTATTATAGTTAACCGATAGAGTTGGTTTAATGGTAAGCTATAATGCAATAGTAGTATTTTGTCAAAAATCAGTTTAATGCCGATTTAACCTGATTCAGAACTAGTTCATCTCTTTTCTGTTTCATATTGAGTCAAATGCATAATCGATAAAATACCCAAATTAAATTGGTTGAGGGTATGATTTTTCGGGTCAACCGGTCAGATGAGCCTGATTTTTATAACACAATAGAGTTCAAATATATGTACCTATGTATTTAGTTTTGAATGATTGCTCTATGTAATGACCCAAAATTTTTAGATTGAAAATACAAGAGTTGCCACCAATTTTATTTGATTTGTAAAAAATTAGAAAACCTTTTTTTATTCAGTAACGCTAGTTTTTCAAAAAAATTAAACCGTGATTCCGGAGTTTAATTATATAAAGGGAAGTGTGAACACTTAGTTTCACTGCACTCTTAATATATTCATGTAAAATAATTATCTTAAGTTAGTTAATTGTGCAAAGAATTAATAATTTTAAAAAAATTTACTTTTTGTTTCTTCATTTAAAAAATACAGGAGTCGTTACACGCTATATTAATAGGAGGAAATTAGATATAGCCATATAGGGTTTGATTTATAATCAACCTCCAATGGAGAGAATTATGGAGCCTTATAATTATATAAATTTTTTGGCTCCATTGTTAATCTAGTATTTCAGTCCAGAATAATATTCATTTTGACTTTTTATTAACAAATATTTATTATTATATAAAAACTAATTTTAAATTTTTAAAATAAAAGTTTATGTGAAGTTATATGCTGGTGTTCCATTAATCTTTTCGAAAATTTATGGACAGATTATATCATTAATAAAGTCCTCACGTCAACCATTTTAAAATTATTTTTATTAATATGGTTAATACGAAATTTTATTCAGTACTAAAATATATGTTAAAATTAAAAGTGCTAAAACATTATAACACTATTATTCTTTTGATACAGTCGACAAGTTATTTGGTGTAATATGTCTAGTGGGTACTTAATTTTGAATTTTTCTTCGTGTAATTATACGAGGACAAAAAATATATATTCTCAAATAAAATGAAAACATAAAAGAGATGAAAAATTTTAATTTTCAAATAAAACAGATCATTTTATAGCGAGTTAAAAAGAACAACATTTTTTTATATATATAAAAAGCAATACATTTTTCTACAAAAAAAAAATATTTTTTAATTTTGATAAAAGCATTGAAAAGATAACAATACATATTTTATCCGCGATTCCAGAATTATTCTCTCAAAGTTAAAAACCTAAAAAACTTTGAAACCAGTAAAGGGTTGGCTCAAATAATATATATTTGATTCTGTTTAAATAAAATTTTATGTTCAAGTTCTTGTAAATGTAAAAAATCTTTTTTGAAAGAGCTATATTCATTACTCAAATAAAATTATTTCTCATAAAAGATACATGTAATTCTGGGTAATCATAATTGTGTTTTTCCCAATTCTAACTATTCACATATTCAAAGCCCATTAAGCTTTTTCATAGACTCCCAAATTTATTTTTCCACTTTCATTCTTTTTTTGCTTTTACTGTAACACAACAAAGTGAAGAGTTAAAGATTATTTCTTAAAATTTTTCATTTTGTTTCTAACTATAGTATGTGGTGGGATATACGGATCAAATGGGAGAATGTTTAAATTTTATTTTATTTTTGGTTGGCCACCGAAGACTTAGTCAAACTAAAATGATTCACATCTTTGTCCTTATCTTCAATTAACAACCTTCAGTAATCATTGTCTGTAAAATCCATAAGTGACTTTATAATAAATATAGTAACTCTCTCTTGTATTCAGATCTATACACCATCTAAGCAAGCGCAGATCGAAGGGAGGGGTGAGCATTGGCCGTCACCCCTCTCTAAACTTTGATTTTTTTTATTATTATTACATGTATAAAATAATATAGTCTAATAATAATATTTATTAGTGCTAATAGTTAGTTCCTCTTTAAAAAATACTTGTAATGCATCCTATCATTCTTGATAACACTTGTATTGATATTTTATCTCTACCCACATCATAAAAATGAGTCCACCACTACATCTAAAGGTGAGAGGAAAAGTTTTGAGGCTCGTATGAACCCAATTTTCATAAGCACGATGAAAACTCAAAATCTAAAAAATTAAATGGCAATGGCATGAGTTATATTTTGATCCTATTTATTTCTCCGCATTGATCTAATTGCTTATTTGTTTGTAAAAGTATGATTAGATCATTTTATATTTTATCTAACATTCACTGGTTTTATTCTTTTGGTAAACGATTACCAATCTAATACGAAAACACATTTTTTGGTAGTGTGCGGGCTAGGTGAAAACCAATGCATGTTTATCATGTGTGATGCTTTGCAAGACACGCATTACTCCCATGCGTATTTTGTATATGCGACACATGGTAGGGGCACGCTAAATTTTGCACAAGTCGCATATAGGAGTAATGTGCGACTTAAATGCGCATCTTTTTGTATTAGATTGATAAATAGATTATAAAAAATTAAACTGGTAAATAGTTACACAATTGAACTTAAATGGATAAAAAAAGCCATGTTAGAAAGAACCCACACTTTCTTAAATTTCTCTATCAACATCCATAATGCATATAGATAAACACACAAAAATTTTAACTTTCAATTAATGGACAACAAATGATAAGACATATCTAGGCATCAGCCGTGTAAAAAGATATTCTTCCTTAAAAAAAAAAACACTTGGTAACAATCACCTTACTCATTAAAATTTGTTAGATGTGTCGGAATGAAATGGAAGATAATATATAAATTTTTATTCTACGTATATTTATTTTAAAAATAAATAGAGCATTTTATTTAGAGGAAGGTTATACTTACAACCTTTTTTTTTACAACCTCTTACAATCATATCTTAACACCGTTGATTTCCGCCAATCAACGGTTAAGATTTATTGCGAATTAATAATTAATTAATAAATTTAATTTCTAAAAATCTTAACCGTTGATCGACGGAAATCAACGGTTAATATATGGGTTGTAAAGAAAAATAGGTTATAAGTATAACCTTTCCCTTTTATATAAAGCTAAAAAGTAATACATTTTAATTTTAATAAAAACATTGAAAAGATAACAAATATGTATACTAAATCTTCTTCCAAAGTTAACAACCCAAGAGGGCGTTTGGTAGAGAATAATTTTTTTTACCTGAGAATTACGATTCCCAGAAATATGATAGAAAAGTGAGTTTCGCGTAAATGTTACCAAAAAGTTATTTGGTAGGACAAAATATTCACGGAAGCGTTTGGTTAATTTTCTTGATATTATGTTTAGTTGATTATATAATATTGTTGAGAATGTGAATTGAGGTCAGTTATGTTCTAAAGAATTATCAAATAATCTTATCATATGAGATTTTCAAAATACCACCCATTTGATGATATTTCAAATATAATTTTTCTTCGTAAATATAAATCCCAGGAATCTGACTTTCCCCGAAAACTTTTTACAATTCTCATGCTAAACGTGGGTAAATCAAATTCTCGATGTCACTTTTTCAGAATTTTAAAATTTTTCCTTTTACCAGACACCTACTAAGAAACTTGTCTCCACAAAAATAATAATAATAATAATAATAAACTAAAAAACTTTGAAAGCCCACATGCCTAGGAAGAACTAGGTAATCAGAAATGGGCTCAACAGTCTCTCCCAATCCTAAGCACTCCCTCGTTCAAAGCCCATTAAACTTTTTTAGAGACTCCTTTAGCCCAAATTTTGTTTTCCTATTTTCTTTCCTTTGCTTTATCTTTTAACACAGAAAAGTGAAGAGTTAAGATTACTCCATAAAAATAAGGAAGAAGGGTTTGGTGTTTGTTTCATTAATCAAAGTAAGTAAGGTTTCTCCAACTTCCAAATTCCAAATTCCAATTACCTTTTTGGCTCTTAATTAATCAATACTATTATTTAATTATCATTATGTATTTGCATAGTGAGAATGAGTGCAAGTAGTGATATAGCAGAGGTTATGTGGAAGGAAATTGAGTCTACACACACAGGTTCATTTCTTTCTCTTTGTAAAAACCTAACCCATTTTTACTTTATTTGCAATTGACCCAAATTTCCCCTTTTAATGTTCTTGTCACAGTGAATGATGATCAACTTTGGATGTAAGTCAATTTATTATTCCCTCTGTGTTCTTCTTTTTCAAAACATGTCATATATTGTGTTTAACGTTGTATCATTTGGTTCCCGAAACCCAGTTTACATTTCTTATTTGGAAAGAACTTTGAGGGAGCGAGTAGGATAGTGGATCAAAGAGGTGTCAAGAGGATTTCTGGTCAGCCTAGTGGAAGGTTTATCTTTCAGGTTTGTTTTTTTACACCAATCTTGCATTTGCATCTTAACCTTTGTTTCCTCATTCATACAACCATTTCAGGATCCATTTTAGACTCAGGTGGATATTGTTTCAAAATTAGAGATTTGGTTAAAAATACTTGGTAGGAAGAGATTTGCACCCTTCTGCCCGGCTCGAATCGAATTTGTTGAGTAATTGATGAACCTGTAGAGAAATCTAGAACAAAAAAAGAAATTTGGCTAAAAATTGGATTTGATCTGTAACAAATTTTAGAAATACATGCAGCTAAATGTTTGCTATAAAGATTTTGGTATCTAGTATTCGAAATTTGAATTAAAAAGAAAAAAAGAAAGAAAATAATTTGTAGGCTTTGCATAACAATTTTGAGAATATAAGGACTCATTCATGTGTTTGATTCAAATTGTGTATTTATTCTCCACTTGTTTGTTTAGGTTACGGGGGAATCCCGGAGAAAAGACCAGTATATGTGTTTTGCAGAGAATTTTTGCTCCTGTTATTCTTTCTTCTATGATGTTGTGAACAGAGGAGAACAACTTTGTGTAAGGCCAGACACTTCCTCCTCCATTATTTTATTATCTCCAGTTGATTATAAACATTCATATTATTCTAGTGCTGAAGTATACAGTGTGCATTGTGCGTGTGTTCCAGTGTAAACATCAAATAGCTGCAAGACTTGCTGCATCATTGGGATCTTATATTGAAGTTAATGTGTCTGATGAGGAGCTAGCTTTATTGCTATCCAAAATTTAGCCCTTGCTTCTTCTCTCTCTTTTCTTTTCCGGTAAGAAATATTGCCCTTGCTCTGTAGAATAAAAATTTAAATATAGAATTTTATGAGGACAAGGAACAAGACATTTAGATTAAGTTAACTTTGATGGTCACAGGGGACTTTTTCTTAGATAAAAAACACTTTATTCTTAAAAAGTATGTTTAGATGTGCTAATGAGAAAAAAAGCTGAAGCACCAAAAGCCATTTGTAATAGATTCTTTAATAAAAAGCACGAAGCTAGTATTTTTGACTTAGAGAAACGTTTGCAGTTGGTTTTTCCAACTAACTGAACATTGTTTGAATGTTTTCTTGGGAAAAATCATTGAGTTTTAGCCTAAATATAAACAATAAAATGTAGGATCAACTTACACGGACTTAAGAATAATAAGTCTTATACTTAAATTTTAACTGTTGATCAGACTTATATCTAATAGCTTATTAGCTTGCTTGATTAATAAATTAAAGCCGTTAAATACAAGTGAAATCAACAGCGAAGATCCTTCCCCAAATAATAATATAAAAGTTTTAATAATGTTATGAAATATAAATGTAGTAGATATTAAAATAAAATAGCTTTGAAAGAGATGTTGAGAATCTAATCATGCATGGTATATTTTTTTTTTGGTAATTGTTGATGACAACGCTAGAGTGGTTAGTTCTCGTAAGTTCCTGATTTGTTATCTGTTTCTCAGAAAACTTTTAATTTCTTTTACCATTAACGGTTATCTACCTAGCTCATTACCTTTAATTTATTTTTTCTTAATCATTTCTGGCTATAAACCTTGCACATTGTCTATCAAAATGCATAATGTATTTTAAAGGATCTAAATTTAGAATTTCTTTACCATATAGAAAGATAAAAAGACTGTAGGAACGGATGAGATAGTCTCATTGTAAATTTTTGAGTGCTATGATGCGCCTAGTAGCATAAAAGATAATAAATACGCATAAAAGATAATAAATATGTTGGATAATAATTATTAAACCATACAAATAAACACTGTTAACTTCATAATCCAACATCTGCTAAGATAATATCTGCATTTGATTACAAGGTCCTAACCTTGCAATTGAAGTCGATCAGACATCAACGGATACCAGCAAAGTATGCTAAAGGACCAACAATAGCACCGTTGGTGTAAGTTGCAGGTTCGGAATGACTGTAATCATTGCGATCATCTGTGAATCCATCATTTTGGTTTGGACCTCCAACTATGGCTCCAACCAATATGTTGGGATTAGGATTCATTGAATAATAAAATGGTTGGAAACCTTCTTCACAGCCTATGGTTTGTGGATGAGTAGCTATTGAAGGCAAGGAAGATCCTCTGTGGTGAATTTTCTTGGGAAAGTTGGGACCATAACCTACCATGTAGGACAGTCTTAATGGGTTTTCTCCTAATATGTAGTCTACCTGAAATTTTACAAATAAATTTTGTTAACAAATGAATATGCAGAAGAGAAGAGAATATTGAATGTACAAATGTTGAAATAATGAGAGTTACCTGTCTTTTTGCAATGCTCCTTAAGGTATTTGGAGTGACAAGGACATTGCCACAGTTAAATGTCTGCTTTTTAGCTGACATATACTTGGAATAGGTTGTAAGTAAGAATGTTATAGATGTCACATACTGAAGGTTGTTGTCAGGAAGCTTGAACATGAGCCCCCCTGCACATAAATAGAAGTAATGCATAAAATAGTGTCCTTCTTAATACTTTCGGAGCCCTTCAAAGTATATTTGACTGAATATGAAAAAATTTGTCATATTTAACAGTTCCATGCCATCATTCCCCATTCTTGGAATTATTTGTAAAATATTCCTTAATAAGAATACTTCAAAATTCAAAGGTAGAACAAAAGTACATGAGAATCCAGAATTATACTTTTGAACGTGTGATTCACTAAGTTTTAGGTAGATTTTGGATATTAATAATCATGAGGTATATATCTTTGAAACTCAAATTCATGATGTTCCCTTTACCTGGTGTATATTGTGTACTTGAAGAGCCAGAGTTGGGCACTATCTTGCAAATGAAATTCTCAGCTTCTTGCTTGAATTGATCAAAGTTGTTGTCACTGTTTAGCAATGCTCTCTGCAGTAACAATTAAAAGGAATAATAGAAACCCAGTGAGTTAAAACAAACTTCAGGCTTAATCTTCACATTTTTTCATTGCTGGCACATGAACAACTTACCCTTGAGAGAAGAACATATGCACCAGCAAATTTGTTGTCCCAGCTGAAGACATCTGGTTGATCATTAGATCCCATGGACTTGACCAAATTATAGTAGGAAACAGCATTTGTTGCTCTGAAAAGCCATGCAGCTCCCCACAATAGCTCATCCTGAAAATACATAAAGCATATTAAAATAACACATTAATAGTAGCACAAAAAAGTTGGTAAACAGTAGCAACAAACAACAAAATGGCTTTACCTTAAAACCAGAATATGAGCAGTAAAATGGGCAAACTGCAGATCCTAATGAATCACTGTAAGAACCTTGATACTGCAAAGCAAATTCATAAACTTCTCGGGCAGTCTTCACCAACAAACTAGAGTATGTTGGGTCAACATGTCTAAAAACAATAGATGCAGAAGCAAGAGCAGCAGCAGTTTCAGCAGCAACATCTGAACCAGGGTTATTTGGAGATACCGAATACACAGTTCTGCCAGTGTCCATGTCCTCTGGCCTTTGCCAACATTTGTGGTCCACATTTGGGTCTCCAACTCCAACATAAAGCTTACCAGGAGTGGATGTAGCACACTTTAGGAGGTAATCTGTGGCCCAACGAATTGCAGCTCTTGCTTCTTTGATTTGGGGTCCCATTCTCTTGCCATATTCAATTGTGCTCCATGATAACATTGTTGTGGTGTATGCCATTGGAAAATTGAATTTCACATTGTCTCCTGCATCATAGTATCCTCCACTTAAATCCACCTGCCAAACAAAAGTTTTGGATTTGTAAGCCACTTTTTTAATGTAGATTTTTTAAAATGCATTTATTGTGTTATATTATTATATATATATATATATATATGTACAATTGATGAAAATTAAGTCATACCAAAGTTTATGCATTGAAAGTTAATGATGAAGCAAATTATTAGTTATTCATTGTGATTTGGAATTAGGTAAATTGCGATATTAATCATACAAATCTCAAATAGTACAAACAATTGAGAAAATGAAAGATGAGACAATAGGATGCATCGTACAGCACAATACTGAAAGTAGGGAAGGGATGATTGTATAAGAAAGAAAACATTTCAAATACCATTACTTTAAGGTCTTTTAAATTATAAATATATGTGTGTTATTATATTGGTTGGAGAAGTTCAACCGATTTTGTATTTAAATTTCAAGTAAAAAAACTTTTATAATGTTTATATATTTTATTTATTTGATAAATAATAATTATGTGAATATAAAATTTTAATTTAATAAATAATAAACATTTGATCATTTAATTTTAATTATTTAATATGTAAAATAATAAAAATAATTTGAACCACTTTAGGGTTTAAAAAAAAGTAAAAGATGGAGACAATGACAAATATTAATACCGGAGTTATTTTTTTGGACAAATCACATATATCCCACATGGAAAATAATCTTGTTCGAGTTGAAAATATTTACATCATGGGGAGAGTAAGCGAATCAAGTATGTACCACTTGAATCAGCACCCTTTAAACAGTTATTTATACCAAAATTTACTCTATGAAATATTTGATTTAAGATTATACAAGGTGATAAAACATAACTTTTCAAGAGAAAAAAAAAAGGTTAAAGACAAAAAAACTAGCATCAAATCAAAGAAATGATATGCTTCCTCAGTTTTTTTATTTTGTTCACATGAATCTCAACATCAAGCTCCCTCCCTAAAGATGACAATTATATTGTGTTTAAAGGTTCAAAAGAACAAACAAAAAAATAAATTTATAAAAAGGAAAAAAAAAACATGAAATTTCTTACATTGGCTGAGCTACCATCAGAAAGACCTGAATTGGATCTCCATGTGATTTGTTGGTCCCGAGGAAGCCTTCCTGATCTCTGGCCTTGAAAAAATAATAAGGATTTAGCCAAAGCTTCTTTGTAGTTTGGGTTGCATTGGACATTGCCCACCAACAAGAATGTGAGCATGAACAAGAAGGAAAAGTAAGTTCCCATCCTCAAAGGTTCTCAAATTGGAGAAGCACCAAAGTGTTTTGTTTTGAAATTTTTTTATGACTTATTGGATGAAACAAATGGCTTATATAGCACTTTTGCATTCAGAAAAAGGAAAATCAATCACATTGCTTAAATTAAGCCATTTCTTGATATCACATATAGAAATAAATGAGTCATAACTCATACGATTATAATAAAGGAAATAATAAGAAGAAAAAAATACTATATTAAGATTTCTCTAATGATGTTGAATGAATTTTGCACAAACTCTGCACCAAAATTACATGAAAAATATAATATATGAGATTTGATTGGTATCTAAACATAATAAATTGTGTTAAGCTCATGCTAACACATGTTGCCACCAATTTTGTCCCTGGTTTCTATGATTTGGTAATTAATTATGACGAGACATTTTTCACAGAAAATTGAATAAAAAATTTTATATTTAAAAATCTTTTGGAGTTTAATTATTATT